AAAGAAGTAAGAAAAAGAGTGGTTTAACCACTGTTTTGAGTACTCTTTTTAGTATAGCAAAACAACTAAATTTCAGAGGTGTTTTGAGGTGAGAATACCAAGCAAAATGAAGGTGCAAAGGTGTGAAATGGTGGCTGAAAACGAGAGGCAGCACCTCCTCTTACTCTCGGTTTTGTATGTCTTCAAAGAAGAAGATTGGGGCTGGAAATATAGACGAGTTTGAGTGTGATATTTGAGAGCAATTTGTTGGAAAATGAAAGAGAAGTGAAGTAACAGAAAGAGATAGAGAGATCGAGACATAGGAAGGAGGGAGGAAGGAGAAATAAGATAAGATCAAATCTTAAGCAAGATTTGATGTTATCTCTAAAGATTGGATTTGATTAGATTTTATCTAGAGAGGAAGGAGGGAGGAAGGTACCTTGATATCTTACAAGATATGAAGAGATCTTCTTGGATTTGATTTTATCTACAAGTTTGCAACTTGATGATCTAGTTAGTTAAGGATAGTTTTTAGTAACTAAGTAGTTATAAGTTAGTTATTAGTTAATTTAGTTGTTTAGGAGAGGGAAATAGGAAGTCACGAAAAATAAGAAGAAGATAGAATGAGTTTGCAAATGTCTTAATTGATTAACTGCTTAACTAGATGTCTTGGCACTTTACCTCAAGTATTTCAATATTTTGGGTGACTTAAACATGTTATTCCTTACATGGCATCGTACAATTATTCCTATTTGTACCAATTGTTACAAATATCAAAACATCTTAATCTTCTCTACATGGTACTTGAAACAAACATCAACATTATACAATGCTGCTAACTTCGCAATGAGAACAACACTCTATAGACTGATTGAAAAATAATATATTGGTTTCACTGTCGATGTAAGCCAACTGATTATCATGACAATTTGGGTGAATTTTACCACCATAACTACACATAAACTTGACTTTGTAGTTGTTGTTTGTAATACTCATTTTACAGGAAAGAGTTGATTTCTTGTTGAATTAAAATAAGTTTGAGATTTGAAGTTTTTAGCAAAGCGCAATGTGACTCCTTAATGACGTGACACGTATAAGTAACGACGTGACTATATATTGGTCGCAATGCGGCACCACTTTCACACAAAACCCAAAATTTCAGGCATTGGGCCCTATATAAGGGTGCTAACTATTAGGGTTTCATCTTATTCTCCGACCTCCACCTCTTAAACGCCTATTGTGAAACCCTCCTTTGGAAGTGCTCTTGAGTTTTGTTGCCTTGAAAATGTGTTTTGAAGGAGATCAAGGTCTTTGGTGCAAGAGAGTCCTCCCAAGAGAAGATCTATCTTCCTTCTTTATTTCTGGTCTCTTTGTGAGTAGAAAAATCCTTTCTTTATGTGTTTTTATGATTAGATCTAGGTCTTGGAGGGGATTTTGGCCCTTTTATCATTCAAACTTGATGTTCTTGGAGTTTAAGCAACACCAGAACCTTTGAATGGATTTGAGTGACTTTCTAGACTTGATATGCTAGAAAAATGTGTGTGTTTGGGTTCCTTTTGAACCATGAACAAGTTCTTGTCCTTAAGAGCCTATTGAGAGTTAAGGGTTTGACTTTTTAAGCTTGTTTTGGTTGGGAAATGGATAAAGTTGGAAGTTTATTTATTAAGTCCCTTGGAATAATTAGATTTAAAGTTTTGGGCTCTAAACTTAAGGGATTAAAAGCTTAATGAAAAGTTGGCTGAATAATCGAGAATCACGACGTGAGCATAAGGGTGTCGCGACGTGAATCGCATTGGTCAATCGCGATTGTTTTGTCTTTTAGTATTTGCGACGTGACCTAGGAGCTGGTCGTGACACGATTGACTGTTGACTTTGACCAGTTGACAGTTGAACTTGCTCATTGATCGTTGACTTTTTACCGGTTTGACTTTTGGTCAACTTTGAGAGTTTTAAATTGTAGATTGAGATTTGACCTCTGTTATGTTTAGGCGGCTCGCATAGCTAATTCCTTGTATACTCTTGCATGTGTGTTTTTAACTCTTCTGTTTTAGGTGAGTTTTCTCACTATATTGTGTGTGATATTGTATGTATAGTATGATAAGCTGTGTGGATACTGTTAGGATATATTTGTATTATTTAGTCCGATTAGTCTATCTCCTTGTTATGTGTTAGATCCTAGCGAAAGTTGTTCGTAAGCCTTTAAACCTGCTAGGATAGGTAGTTGGAAGTTCAATAGATATTTGGGATGATGGGCTTGGGCACATAGGCCCACTGAGGTGTTGACTATGAGCTGATGATGGCTGTACGTTCTACAAGTATTTTGGATGATGGATTTGTGCCTAAAGGTCCATTGAGGTGTTGACTATGATCCTTGTTTTTATGCAATGTATATGTAATGTGATATATGGTATTTTGGGGAACTCACTAAACTTTATGCTTACTCAATTGTTTACAAATGTTTTTTAGGTTGTTCTAGTGTTTGAGGCAAGGTCAATGTGTGGCTGTACACACACATCAATATTGACTATGTTATGAGACTTCCATGATGTTTTCGATATCTACTCTGATTTTGAGATACCTGGTTTTATGATTATGAATAAATGGTTTTATTATGTTTTTTGAAATACGAATTTGAAAAGTTTACCTTTATTTGAAAATGAAATTTTGCTTTGAAATTTGGGACGTTACACTATTGTTGCTATTGTTCCCCGTACATTGATCTTCCCAGGCGTTGGGTTCTCAAAGTCGATTTCTCGCAATCTAAGCGATACTATTAAGAGTAGTATAAGTTCACATCGAAGGCCACAACAACCCTTATTTTACACATCAGCCATTGATCGCCCCTCATTTGACACAACAACCATTTTTCAAAGTCCACATTATCTTTTTAAGTGCACACCAATTTTATTTACCAGTTGACCCTTTTATTTTTTTTGCAAAATGGATTTTGAGATAATATTTTATTTTAGGGTTAGTCACATAAAAGAACCTATAAATTGGGTTTTTTCCGGATTAAACATCAACTTTATTTTTTCCCTAGAAAACACCTGATAGTTTTCTATTTTTCCTGATTTGGCCCTTATAATTTTTATATTTTTGATTTAGCCCTTACATTTTATTCTATTTTTCAAAATTTCCCTTACATTTGTTCATTTTCTCGGATTAAACCTTGATTTTATTTATTTATTTTTCTAGAAAAATCCTTACATCTTTGTTATCTTGGAAGATTTCTAGCATTCCCATGGCAGATGCTCCCAACCTCATATGATGGTTTAGAGTAAATCTAGAGAGATAGTCCTATAAATCCATTGCTTGACGATTGCTCAAAACATTGTAGGTGTATGTAATGATATGGAAAAGTTCAACCCAAGATGCATAATGATCATCAGTTGATCAAGGGTTATCAATATTGAGGTTTTTTATGTTGGTTATAGCGAAGGAATTGTGAAAGTTGTTCTTGTTGGATTTTTTTAATCCCATTAGGGAGTCATCGAGTTTTATGATGGAATATGAGAATGACAAAAAGAAGAGTGATATCAGTCGTTGGCGAGAAGAAGAAGAGGGTAGGGTTTGTTCTTCTTCCATGCGAACCCTGTGGCTCATAATGAGAATAACGAAGCCAACAAGAACAGTTTTCACCCTTTCTTCCCCATAACCAAAATAAAAAATTCAGTTCCAAGAACCCTTGATAAAACCAATAATTGTTACTCATCTTGGGTTGAACTCTTCTAGATCGCTACATGTGCCTACAACGTTCTTCACCACATCGATGATACCATGTGAAAGAGAAATTTATGCAATCATCAAGTAATGGATTTACAGCATAATCTCTCTCGAGTTACTCCAAACTATCATGAAACTAGAAGCATCTATCATGGAATTATGGAACCGAATACAAAAAATTCCAAGATAACAAAGATGTAAGAGTTTTTTTAGAAGAAAAATCAAGTTAAGGTTTAATCCGAAAGAGTGAAATAATATAAGGGTAAGGATGTCAACGGGGGAAAAAGGGTCGGGGGTTGCATCCCCCACCCCCACCCCCGCAATTTCGCCTTTCCCCCACCCCCGAGATCTCCAGCCTTCCCTCCACCACCCTCGCCCCTGAATTCTTGGAGTACCCCGCCCCCGATTGACCTTTGGTTGCCTTTTTTGGGCTAAAAGAATTTCTTTTGGGGCTAAAAGAAGCTATTTTTTAGGTAAAAAATAATTATTTATAGCGGAAATTTAAATGTTAAATACAAAAATGTTATAACATCTCAAAAACATTATACTAAAGCATGCTATTATGTATTTTATATATATATATATATATATATATATATATATATATATATATATATATATATATATATAATATTAATGAGGACCCCATGGAGGTTTTAGGACGGGACTGTCCAGCCCCGTTCCAGCTCCCGAAATTAAAACGGAGGTTAACCTTGTCTCCGCCTCTAATGTTTTTAATCAGATACCCCACATACAGGATCGTGGTCCTACGAGAATCTTTGACATCCCTATGTAAGGGACAAATTGAAAAGAAAAATGGAAAATGTTAGGGCTAAATAGAAAAAATAAAAATTATAAGGGCTATATCGGGAAAAATAGAAAGAAAATTTAAGGGCCTTATCAAGAAAAAAATAAATTTAAGATTTAATCTAGAAAAAACACATTATATATGATTTTTTATGTAATTAGCCGTTTATTTTATACTTCAATGACTCAGAAGACAAAAAATAATAATAATAATAATAATAACTAGCTGAGCTACCCCGCTCCACGGGGTTCGGTTTTGATCATGGTTTTATTTTTTTCTTTTTCGGTATGTATTAGGCAGTAATGTTTGTGTTTTAATGGATATTTTATTTTTGTAACATATATATAGTAGATGAGTGACCCCGCTTTGCGGGGTCCGGATGTGTGAACTCTTTTTGGTCGATTGTTTGTAAAATGTTGTTTCTACATGTTGGAAATCCGTACTGAACGTGTTTGTTGATATTAGTTGGCAAGAGTAATAAGTAATTAAAAAGAATGGGTCAGGAAGGGTATTAGAAGCTGAAATTGTCCATACCAACCAATCCCTAAATCACTGCAGACTGCTTAATGTCAATCCACCGGTTGTAGTTACAATACAACACCAATAACCCTAGGATTACAATATCTTAATAAACGAACTCTAAAAGTATTCTAAACTAATCTATGAAAGTTCATTGCTAACATGTGCATTTAAATATCCTGCATACCCTGTTCGTGAAGATTGGCTATTGATGTTTTCTCCCCATTGCCTCAGTCATCAATCCGTGAGTATCTACACAAAAAAAAGGTAGAATCACCTGTCTGACTAAATAAATATAGTTGGCGATTAAGATACAAAAGAATGAACCAATAAAACAGTTCGCTTGCAAAGGTGTGTATGCTGCCTACACATTAGTCATGCCCTCTTTTCTCTAGTTCTTATCCTTGCTCGACCTGAACAACAAAGAACCTTACAGTGTAATTGTATATTTGAGATTTCAACTACTTTCTATTATTTGTTTATTAGAGCATCCAACATGCTGGTCAATTTTTGAAATATTGAATCCTAAAATTGATCATTTTTGTCAACACCATGCAACACCTTTAATTTTTTGTTTTTGCCATTAATTGGTCAACCGTGTTTCAGTTTGTCATGAAAATATATATCTTAATGTGTCAATTTTCCCATCAACCAAGTTTTCTACTCTAACAATTTACATGAAAGATAAAAGAATATTATAACAGTTATAATCAATTTATAATCTATATCAACAGAAAAGTTATAAATATTATTATAAAATTGACCATCTAACCATCACTATAATAGGGATGACGTGGTTTTAAAAGTAAATTAAATACAAAACATGTGCATAAAAAAATGTTTTCAAATATGATCATTAATACTTTGACAACAGATTAATACAATAATATATTTGGTATCAGAACAATTTTATAATTTAAATTAAAAGAAGATCTATTGCATAAATAAGGAGTGTACTCATTTTAGTTCAACTATCCACCAAATTAATATGTTTTTGATGTTTTAGATATGGTATTAAATGAGAAATCAATAATTCATCAAAATAGGTAAAAAAAAAAAAATGACAAAACACTCTATACCTGCTGTAAGATTCTCTTGAATCCAATTTGAAGTCTTGGGGCTAATATGGATGTCCCACCACCATGAATAGAAACGTCGTAACTCAAAATTTAACATACGTGCCATCACTCCATAATTGAACAAAGCCACAATTGATCTGGAACTCCAAAATCCCAGACTGAGAGCTGGTCTAATATCAAATTTTCTCCTTTCCTTTTTCCAAAGAATAAGAATTGATTATGCTGCAAAACTGAAATTGTTAAAAATTAGTATAGTAAAAAGAAAGAAAAAATCTGCAAGAAATAAGAACTCACTTTAACTTATTTTGTGTGGTATATCATCTTACTTATATTTTTTTCAATAGCAGCAACAACCAAATCCATTATTGAAGGCAAAGTGCATAGATTTGTATTCTCCTTGGTGTCTTGTCCTTTCTCAACACACAAAAAGAGTAACATTAGATTCAGATTCTCCTTATTTAAATTGTCAAGTAATTAGATGTTTGGATGTGTGTTTACAGTGATTACTTAAATTACTACCTCAATAGGTCCCTTGCCAGTTGTAAACTTGGAAATGAGTTTCATCTGTTGGCGAGAAAGAATATCAGCGCTTTGTAAGAAGGAAACATGTTTTGAGTGTTCAACCAGTATGTCAATGATGAAAGATGGTGAGCAACACGTAGACTCCATTGATCTTGAATACGCTTCTTGACATAGCTTCAATGGCAAACATCGCCACCAGTAATTCACTACTGCCTACTGGAACTATAAGACTTACTCCTGCTAGCCTGTAAGAAATGTATTCCAATGAAGACCATATCACCTGACCAGCCGATGCGATAAATAGTCACACAAGCATTTTATCGAACACTTACTGTGCATAATAATTAAAGTTGCCAAGTTTTTTAATCAGGGGAAAAAGCACTTCACAGAAACCCATAAAAGATTTCACTTCCATTCATCACAAAATAATGAATATATATTGTTATCGTATCGTTACAATGTTTTTGTTATTATCATTATCATTTTTTCTTTGATAATACAATACATATGAGTACATAGTAACTAAACTCTAATCTTTTTTTTATAAATCTTAGTCATAATATAAAAAAAACATTCAAAAGATTCAAAAATGTTTCCATATTTTTAATCTTTTACAAAAAAAAAATAATAATAAAAAAATAAAAAACAAAAAAAAAACAAAAATTAAACCATATATAGTCATGAACAAAAATTCTAGAAACTTAATTGTAAAAACATGGACAACCTTTATATCAGAAGTGTAACCTTTAGTTACAAAATACATTTATCCAAACGAATTTAGAAATGTAGATACTTATGTTTGAAGAAAAAAATCAATTTGAGTTCAAATCTACTGCATTCCAATTTCAATTTCAGGAGTTGGAAATTATTTAACTATATCAAGTGGATCTAAGTTTTTATTTTTTTTAATTTAGCTAAAATGATTTCTTTATTATAGATAAGCTGAAAACACTTTGCAAGCAACTAAAGCTACAAAAACAAAAACATACCTGCAAGGGTATGGATGTAATTTTCTCAAAGGACAATATAAGGAAATGATTACAATAGAAAGAGATGCCAAACACCTTTCCCATTCATCGCAGCGCCACTAAATTGCAAATGAAGATGTCAGTCTATACTTATATTACCAATGTCAGTGTATACTTCTAATAAGATAATTTATACCCCAGTGGTCAACTTCAATTAGAATCATTATAGTGTGCATTTTTTTAGGAGTTCTTTTCTTTTTTTATTAGTAATCAGTTAACTCCAACTAATCCAGCCGTCCAAAAACATATTCCCTGCTTGCAGATTCTTATACAGTCCAACATAAACCAAGAAGTAAGTAAAATAAAAGAGAAAAATGTTTCAGTGCTTAGAACCAAACAGTATACCATGAAATATATAATAGTTAAGGTAATATAAAACCTTTTGAAGCGCATTGGTTTGACTCTGTTCCACCTCTGTTCTATGAAGAAGCCATACAGTTGATTTTGGTGTGTGAATTGGTGCAAATCCATTGTTCCACAAGACTGAGAACTTTATGAAGATAGATTACAAACGAACATTGGTACCGGAAACGGGATATGAGCTGCAACACAAAGCACGGTCATCAAAACCCAAGTTGATACTTCATTTATATATTGAATAATAATAAATAAATGTAATTATTTACATGAATGAGGGACCATGTACGTAGATATACAGGCCAATGTCAATCAATCACTTCAAGTTCACTTGCCAATTGGAAAACTGGCCAACCATGGATCTTATATCATCTAGTGCAAAATCAATGGTACTTTTGTTATTGGAAAAGAAGAACCCATCATTCTGTAACAGTGGAAAATATTTTTTTTTTTTTTTGATCAGATACAAGATATTTTGAGATTGTTGCACAAATTTAAACAAAACAACAAAATTTACCATGAACACCAACATTCTAGACTCCTTTTCTCATTTTTCCAGATACATGAGCTGCCCAATACCTGTAAGTTTCAAAATTAAGTCAGTTGTGTAATAAATCGATAAGTATTATGTAAACTTAATACATTTTTATACATAATACTATAAGGAATGAAGCAAAAATAATCTTTCTTACAAAGACTTTCTTCTCGTTTGGCTCTGTATGACCCACTTCTGCAAGCATAAAAACCAAAAACAACTTTAAAGCCTGTAAAATTTGATGTAAAAGTGTAAGCATATTAGTACATTAAGTTGTTAGATTGAGAGAAGATAATATAAAGGGAATTAGCTCCCACTGTATAACTGAGATAGAGATTGAGACCAAAGATGAGAACCTAACATGGAAATGAGAAAGGAATATCACTGGAGTACCTTTCGGAATCATGAACATGAATAGCAGTTCCATGCATTGAAGTTAGAAGCAACCTAAAGAAGCAAGATTGTTCACTGGCTATGATCTAGTAATATATATTCAAGAAGATGGGTTAGTTAGTTTGTTGATTTTTGAAGTAAAGTATAAAATTTGATACCTTGTTGCCCAATCCTTGGGGAGCATCAACAGCAATCGCCTTCCTGGCTTGTATAGGGCTGGGGATGATGAAGCAAGCGACTTATCCTTAAATTTCATCTCTGCCTACAAATCAATTGAAACACAATTTCAGTCGGAAATCTGTATTGTAATTTGTATACAGAAGAAATTAAGCATATGATCAATCAAAGTACCGGTCGATGGAGGTCCAGGCTTCGAGATTTCCAATAGTAGTAGACGTGATTTGATTGAAGCAGCGCCCCTGCCATACCCCTGCTAGAGAACTCTTCCGTTCCTTACTCCAAATAACACCACCACCACCATTGCCGCCTGCTGATTGCTTAAGGTTGGAAAAGCGATGAAGAAGTAGAAGAGAAGCGGTGGAAATAGAACGCTTTCGGGTTGTATTTGTCGATTGTACTCAAACTATGTCGTAAAACTCTAGCATCGAAGTTAGAGCCATCCGCTAACGACGGCGAAGAAGTGTCTCCGGTGGACCATTTGACGAACGGAGACCTCCGGCACCGGAAGACAAGTATCGATTTTGTGATTAAGAAGTCGACTGATCGACTCGTCGATCTCCGCATACCACCGATCGTCAGTTTGCAAGGGTATCTGGGAATACCTATTTGATCGATTGCAAGTATGAAGACCTGAAGCTTCAATTACAAGACCGATGGTTGGCGGTGGAGGGAGCAAAGGGTAGAAGAAGAGAGGAGACTCGATTTGGGAGGTGGTGGAAGTATCGTGAAGGAAACAGAACGAAAACAGATAAACATCAAATACTGAGAGACCGGGCACGATGACCAACACGTGGACAGAGAAAATAATGTTTTCCATAAAACACCCCTATACCAAGATTCTATAATCAAGGGACCATTTCTGTCAAAAACACACAAGTTCACTATTCATCTTTTAACACAACTTTAATATAATAATAATAATAATAATAATAATAATAATAATGGATTATTTAAAACCGAAAGCAAGAGTTCTTGGGATTTTAATTACAAATTTTTTCCTATAAGTACTCTATTTTTTTTTTAAAAGATGGTTTAAATAATATCAAGTATATTATTTTATAGTGAAAGTTTCCAATACCTTTATCATACATATATAAAAATCAAAGATAACAAACACTCACTAGTTCATGATGATTAGTCATATCCTATGCGTGTGAATTGTCCGATTTAACTTATTCAAACCATAAAACTTTACCTAAATCCAAAGACTGAGTCTAACACAAACAAACCGGATTCGCCAAGAATGTTACCATATATAGTACGAGTAACCAAGTCTCCTGGTTCTCGACTAATAAAAGATAATGATTTCAATATTCTTGGACCAATCAGCCATTAATAAATCTTGAACTACATAAATAAACCAATCATTTTACTTTGGTTGAACCATTACCAGATTACCTACCCTTTATGATATTGGGTTTATTATTATTATTATTATATCATTTTGATAAGTGTGGTATGTTATGGGCGTTGAAATTGTTTTAGTTTAATTGACAAGTTGATAGCGAATTTTGATGGAAGTCTCCTGGTTTATGGGATAAGCATGAGAAAGGTGGTGATATTCCAATGTGGTATTATAATTATTTATGGCCCCTGGTATTTCATTTCATGAGAATTTTCTATAAACTTCAAATACCGGAAACCAGGCACTGGTTTTTGTTTGTTTGGCTGACTCATTACCACTACACGCTCCAGAAAAACAGGAGCCTAAACAACCCTTCGTATGTGGCGATTCGACCCCACCCTCACAGCCCCTCTCCACGCGCCCCAATTTCTTGCTCTTCTTACAACCACTTATTAATAAAAGTAAAAATAAAAAACCACTAAATTTTAAGTTAAAATTCGGTAATTGACCAAAAAAGAGGGGTTCTTTAAAAAAATACAATGAAAAGATGGATTTCGGAATCTGACTATGGGATCCGCAGGGCACCCTCTGCGGATCGAGTAATCCCTCTGAGGAAATGGAACACCTCTGCGGATCTTGGCTTTTCTTAATTTTTTTTTTTTTTGTTTTTTCGTTTTTTTCGTTTATTAATATTAACTTTTTTTAATCACATAAGGTATTATGTGATTATTATGTAAAAAATTTGACAAAAAAATGTTAAAAATAATGAACTTATGTTTAATATCAGTCCACATAACTATTTGGGAATCCACAGAATTGTTATCAGCGGATCAATGTACACCTCTGTGGATCAGTGTACACCTCTACGAATCAATGTATAAATTGTCATACCGGTTAAATATTGTATCAACTCACCCCGGTATTGAATAATATAGAAATGGCCTACAATGCATCAACTTCTACGAATGCAAATATAGAAATTTGAAGATGAACTCATATTATAAATATAAAAAAATACAACTCTCCACGAAAAATTCAACGATCATCTATGACTATTTATACACTCTTCAACTCCTTAGAGCTTTTTGTCGGTCTGCAGTGTTGTTTGTCAGTCCACAGAGCTTTTTGTCAGTCCACAGAGCTGTCTTTAACCAATAATTGTGATCCATATATTACAATTTTTTATTAAAAGGTAAATATTAATAATTAAAAGGTACACATTATTTATTAAAATATAACAACGTCAACGGACCAAAACTAAGGTTAACATAAAAGTAAATAGAAACTAATATTAGTTGTCATCCACGCATTACAATTAAAGTAAATTGTCGTGGAGGTAAGACGACAACACTTTCAACTGGTATTTCCCAATTCATAAGGTTTAGAATAGGATTCACCATCTCAGTTTGATAAGCATTTCGATACACCGCAGTAGTTAACTTATAATTTACCATAAGTTTGATTTCTTCAATTTCAAGCCTTTGTAGTGATGCTATAGCGTGATGACAAGGTATACCTCACTTTTGCCATTTCCCGCAAGTACAAATGCCACGATCTAATTGCACGGATTCGGTGGTTAAATACTTACTCACTTCATATCTGTCGCCAACAATATGCCTAACCCTACAACCATCGGAGTTGATAAATCTTTTTTGAAGCACCTCAAGTGCATAAGGGGTCAGAAGACCATGAAATTCCCCTGTGAAATTAACTGAATCATCAAATAAAAATTATGATGCAATAATTTATATTAAAACATATAATTATTACCTCCGAATGTAGCACGTTGACCATACACTCCTTGCACGAAGTCATGGACCATTTAAATGATTGTTGTTATTGGTAACTCATGTCTGTTTGTCATTATCCAATTGATGACATCGGGAATGTCAATGAATTTCACATTGAAACGTACTTTAGGGAAAAATGCTTGTACCCATTTTGCAATGACAATATTGTCAAGCCAGTGAAGATCATTTCCATTCACCTCATTTTGTAAGGTGTTCAAACTCCCATAAAAATCATACACATTATACGTTTTGCATGTCTTCCAGAACAACTGCTCCACAACTGTATTGTTTCCGGTGGAAGCTCGTATTTTCTCATCTATATTTTTACAACAATAACCATGATATGAATCAGGATAGACTCTATGTACTGCGAAGTCTATAGAGTCAGACATATGGCTTATGAAACCAACTTCCATACTGCCACCTAAACATTCTTTCAGCCTCCTCATGAACCATACCTATCACTCATCACATTTTATGGTTCCCAAAGCAACTGCTATAAGTATGGGTTCATGATTTCCATCTAAAGCAACCGCAATGTACATAGATGTTATGTAAGTCCCAATTAGAGGTACGTGACAAACGAATATGATTGGTATCATAAACGTGAGAAACGTACGAATCTGCAAAAAAAAGATAAGAATAGTAGCCAGTTAACAACTTCAAATAACCAAAAATTTAGTATAAATGATTACATACCACGCATCCCAATGCCACAAAACAAAATTGGAAACGATCGTACATATCTTTCTTAATACATGTGAAGGTGTTAGGATTGGTTATTTGCAGATTATGAAAGAAAATCGGTAGGTTGGAGAAACTTTTTTTTAACACCTCATTGAAGGAATTCATTTTCACAACTTTCCACAACTTCTCAAAATTAAAAGGCTTGTCCAATTTAAATGAAATTTGTATCCATTAATCCGCAAAGCTGTTTGTCAGTTCGCAGAGCTGTTTGTCATTCCGCAGAGCTGTTTGTCAGTCTGCAAAGCTTGTTGTCAGTCCGCAGAGCTGTTTGTCATTCCGCAGAGCTGTTTGTCAGTCCGTAGAGTTGTTTGCAAGGCTACAGAGCTTGTTTTCAGTCTGCATAGATGTTTGCCAATCCGCAGAGTCGTTTATCTTATTTAAATCATCATTCATTCTTCAATAAACCCACACCTTTATTCTGAAATGGCCACTAATGTACCAACTTCTTCAAATGCAGCGACATCAGTCGATGCTCCAGGTCCATGGACGACAACAAAGGTGATGGTCCTAACACGATGTTGGATGAACGTTAACAAGGGTGTGACACCAATAGCTCCGCCTCATTGCCATATAGGTGATGAATGGACCCGCATAACATGTTTGTTCAACCATGAGATGGGAGAAGGACAACACCACCTTAAAGAAGATGTTGTTACTAAGTGGATGAAATTAAAGGAAAAAGTCACATGGTTCAATAGATGGTATAATTATATTAAAATTTTGCCACATTTTTACGCAGACGATGAAGAACTTTTACAAGTTGTTAAAGAGCATTACATGATGGAGTGTGATGGAAGTGAGTTCGAATATGATGACGTTTGGAATGTAGTGGAAAAAAACCAATATTTCATGTAGACTGTAATATTTTATGCGTAATGTTTGCTACTTCTTTATCTTATTTTGTAAGGACTGTCTTATCTGTTTCCATGTATTTGTAGTGTTTGTAGTTTCTGGAATAAAGTGTTTGTATTTGTTTCCATGTATTACGCAGACGATGAAAACAGCCTAATAAAAACCAATTACATAAAAATAACCTTATACAAAGCAGTACATATAAATAACCTTAATAAAATAACAACTACTTCAAAATAATGTACTACAAAAACATTAAAAGTACGGGAGATCTTTTATAAGATTCCAAGGGGCTTCATACTCGAATTCCGACTCATCGCTAATGGATTTGTATTCCTCTTTCGCTGTCTCCAAGATCACTTCCTCGTCTTCATTGAGCCGTTCATCATTAATTTTGTTATAAAGATCGTTGAATAACAAAATTTCTGTTTTACTTCATACCATGTAGCTTTGACAGCAACGATGTTACGATAGTTTCCTGCAGCGGTTTGAGGATCAGCGTTGTAGGTATAAGTTAAACGGGTCGAAAAACTTGGATCATTCACACCGATGCTCTCGTACACAGTAATATACGCACGTGTTAGACGTACGATATCCTCAACGCTCCATGGTCTGGAACCCATTGTGAGTGAAAATTTGATGCTGTCCAGAAAAATGAATGAAAGAAAGGGTGAAAATTAGATGAAATCATACACATACTAAAGAAAATTTATAGTAAAATATTAGTATTGCGGATCGAACACTATTTGATACAGAGTAGACGAAACAGTACTGCGGAATTAACAGTACTTTGTTGTGGAGTTAATGAAATAGTAATGCAAATCGAACCAGTGCTGCGGAATTAATAGTACTTTGCTGCGGAATTAACAATACTTTGTAGGAATACTAGTTTTTTTTGTCTTATACAAACTTCTTAATAAGCACATTTTAAAATAAACATCATTCATTCAATTTTCGTAAAGAGTTGCTTTTTTTTATTTATAATATGAGTTCATCTTCAAATTTCTATATTTGCATTCGTAGAAATTGGTGCATTGGAGGTCATTTCTATATTTTTCAATATCAGGTGAATTGATACAATAT